TATCTTATAATCCTATTGCCTTTCCTGTTTCATTTATCTATATTTTATAATCCTAATCTATAACCTATAATGTATTACTTGTATTGATTAATTTAGATCATAACAGGATGAGGGGAAATACAAAGGAAAAGATATTTTGTGGAATCCCAGAAAAGGCAGTCTAATTTTGAATCCAGGGGAGCTCTATCTTGATAATCTCCCTAACAGGTTCCTTTTTAAGAGGTGGACACCAGGAACAGGCTTATGATTTGGGTTCCAGAAAGTGGTCAAAAGCCTGGAGGTTCCTAGAGATTTTATTCAGGTACTTGACAGAAGGTGAAAGAATTGAGGGTAAGTAGTAGAGTAGGTGGAAATAACCTACACTCCAAGGCATACATAGGGAAGAGACATTTTTCTCACATAGGAGAGAGACTGTTTGGCTCATGCTCTGGTCACCTCTTTCCCAAAGACCTTGGATCAGACCAAGACTTTGTTTCAGGATCCAAGAGATATCAGGTGAGGGTTCCCTCTACCATCAGGCTAAGTTAGTCAGAAGCTAGAAGCAAGGGACAGAAGGACAGATAGTGGTTGACATTTGGTACTCCTGAGAGCTGCCAGGGTCAGGCTCAGGATATCAAACCTTTGTGAAGCACCTGGGAGTCACCCCAGTCTTTTGCCTTCAGTTGTCTCAAGCTTTCTCTGTCCCACTCACAAATTCTCTCCCACAGAAAGGAAACCAAAGCAAATCAGGACTGACATTTACAATGCCTAGGAAAGGGGGATTGGCCCTGATGGCCCAAGAAGCCTGTTATCTGAATCTTATAGAATGGCTATTCACTTTATTTTTTTTTAACATTGTTAAGTCTTTTTTAAAATTTGTTATTACCAGTTATATATTACAGTAGAATGTATTTTGACATATTATACATGTAAGGAGTATAACTTCCCATTCTTCTGGTTGTACATGATATGGAATTTCATTGGTCGTGAATTGATTAATACACAGGAAAGTAATGTCTGATTCATTCTACCATCTTTCCTATTCCCATTCCCCCTCCCCTCCCTTCATTCCCCTTTGTCTAATCCAAAGTACTTCTAATCTTCCCTATCCCTGCCCCCACTTAGTGTGATTTAGCATCTTCATATCAGGGAAAACATTGATTGTTTGGGATTGGTCTCCAGTTCTGTTCATTTATTGGCAAATGCCATAGTTTCATTTCTCTTTATGGCAGAGTGTAAATGTACCACATTTTCTTTATCCATTCATCTGTTGAAGGGCTGATAGGCTGATTCCATAGTTTAACTATTGTGAACTGAGCTGCTGTAAACATTGATGTGGTAGCATCACTAGTATGCTGATTTTAAGTCCTTTGGGTATAAACTGAGGAGTGGGATAACTGGGTCAAATGGTGGTTCCTTTCCAAGTTTTCTTAGGAATCTCCATACTGCTTTTCATAGTGTTTGCACCAATATGCAGTCCCACAGCAATTTATGAGTGTACCTTTCCCCACCATATCCTGCCAACATTTATTGTTGCTTGTATTCTTTCTTTAAATTTTGGTAGTTGTAGATGGATAGCATGCCTTTATTTTTTGTTTATTTTTATGTGGTGCTAAGAATAGAACCCAGTGCCTCACATGTGCTAGGCAAACACTCTGCCACTGAGCCACAACCCCAGCCCCATATTGCTTGTATTCTTGATGATTGCCATTCTGACTGAAGTGAGATGAAATCTCATGATAGTTTTAATTTGCATTTTATCTAACTGCTAGAGATGTTGAACATTTTTCTGTATATTTGTTGACCTGTCATAATTCTTCTGTGAAGTGCCTGTTCAGTTCCTTTGCCCGTTTATTGATTGGGTTATTTGGTTTTGGGTGTTAAGTTTTTTGAGTTCTTTATATATCCTGGAGATTAATGATGTATCTGAGGTACAGGTGGCAAAGATTTTCTCCCATTCTGTAGGCTTTCTCTTTTTACATTCTTGATTGTTTCCTTTGCTATGAAGAAGCTTAAGTGACTGACAGATGCCATAATTTCAGAGCAAGAGGACTAAACATTTGAATGGAGCTTAGGGCTACCAGAAAAGGCAGTGAATCATTGGTCCATTTTACTCACTCTTCCATAGATCCTGGAGGAGCCCCCAAAAGATGCAGCACCGAGCAGGACTGGGTGGGTTTTTTGTCTCATGAATTTGAAGAATGAGATCCATGGACACAAGGGTGAGAGCAAAATAACAGGAATCATAAGAGCAATAGAAAGGTAGCAGAGCCATGTGCAGCGGCGCACACCTGTAATCCCAGTGCTTCAAGAAGCTGAGGTAGGAGGATTGCGAGTTCAAAGCTAGCCTCAGCAACTTAGCGAGGCCCTAAGAAACTTAGCGAGATTCTGTTTCTAAATAAAATATTAAAAAGGGCTGGATACTGGTTCAGTGGTTAAGCAACCCTGGGTTCAATCCCCAGGAACAACAACAACAATAACAAAAAAAGCAGAATTCCCAAAGGGGGATTGGTCCCAAGAAAGAGTTGCTGATGGGTGTCTGTTTTCTATGGATTTATGTGAATCTACAGGGTGAAAGAAGCTAGTCATGACCCAATCCTGGGTAAGGAACTCCGTGTCCAAAAGCTCTTCACACACCCTTTCATCCAATCAGGTTACCATGCCTTTTTTTTTTTTTTTTTGGGATGGGATCCATGCACTAAGCAAGCTATGATCTCACTAACAGTTTTCCTGCTTATACAGGAATTGGTCTGACCTTGATTAGACCTGAATTTTTATGTCTGTAGTTTCTCAGCACTGCTACACAGACACTTGATCTTGGAGGGACCCAAGTTTCCTATCCGCCTGTTTTAACTCTTTGTCTTGCCCCAATAGTAAAAATCACACTGTATCTAACCAATATAAATTATAGAATAGTACTATAAAACATAAATATATTTATATTTTCTAGATAATAAGAAGAGGAAAAAGAGACATTTTAAATTTCTTTTTCTTCTTTCTCAAACTGAAACATCTTCTTTGGGATATACCTGACTGTAGTTGAAAAATGCTTGATGACTTTAAAATATGCACATAAGCCTGAGGCCTACATTATCTTTGGATTCCCAGTAGAGGGGATATTGTCTCTATTTACAAAGAGAAAATCAGTGTTTATTAAATCAAATCTCTCTTGTACCAGGCAGGATCATGTTAATCACCTAGTTCCCTGAATGTATATGTCTTAAATCACTATGTATATTAGATAAAATTTCCTTGAAAGACCTTATCTAGTGCAAACTTGTTTATCTGCCCAAGCAGTATAAGGAACCCAGTAAAAGGACCAATCATGTTTGGTCCTTTAGTATCACAAAGCACCAACCAATAAAGGTATGATTTTCTGATTTTGTTTGATTATTTATTATTTCTATTTCTTTGCCAAGACTTCTCATTTTTTCTTTTAATTCCGTGAACACATTAATTACATCTATTTCAAAACCTATGTCTAATAATTAATCTAAGATCAAATCTCATAAGGACCTGTTTCCTTTGTAATTTTTCTTATGGTTTCAACCTAGTCACTTTTTTATTCAATATCAGACATTAGCTTATGAGATCATTTGAGGCCTTTTGTCATCCCCGAGATTGATTCATTTTTGCTTCTGGCAGGTATTTGCAATGATTTCAAACTAAGATATCCTTGTGAAATGAAATTCTCGTTCACCCTTTTTTCTAGGGGACTGCTCTTCTGGTCTTGGCAGGAAGCCTAGGATTTTTTGTGGTTCCTTTACTGGGGGGTAGTCTCCAAACTGCAGTTTCTTTCTCCAAGTCTTATAATACTATACTGCTGGCAACCCTTCTAAATTTCTCAGACTCTCAACTGAAACTTTAGGAATGAGCCACTATCTCATGGGAAAAGCAATACCAAACACTAGCTTCCTTTCTCTCCAGGATCTGGGCTCCTCATATTCTACCTTAAATATCTATGTAGCATCTCCAAATAAGTCTTTAGAAAATACCTTGTCCAGCTTGTCCAGTTGTTATTAGAAGGAAGGTTCATTGGATATAGACGTAGAATTTGTTTCTATCCCTATGAGTTATGAATCATGTCTCTTGGTTTTGTCCAGGACATCCACAGGATGCTAGAATAATTGCTATCACCTTTCAGTATCACGTTTTCTAGTTTCAATATGTTATATGGTCATCTGCGAGTAAGCCATGTTGCTCACTAGGGCTAGAGATGAAGTACTGCATTCTCATAGTATCTACAGAAGATGGAGTGGGATAACAGTAACTGATAGATGAAATTCTGTCTCTTCTCACATGAGTCACTTCTTTGCCTCACCTATTTTTCAAAGGAGTCACTAGATACACACCAATTCACAGTACCCAGTAAAGGGTTTAAGGGTAAATTTCAAGAATATTTTCTCTTTCAGGATGTTTTGGTCCAAAAGACAAAACACACCTTTGGCTTTTCTTAGTATCCATGGCCACAGTCTTAGTTTTTTACCCCTGAATTAGATAAATCCCTTGTTTCTTGCTGTCTTTGATTTAGAATCTCCCTAGCACTGTTTCTAGTTAATGTAGGAATATTAAGGGCTGATGCAGCAAAGTGACTATGGATGGATTTAGCAACAACTTACTGTCTTTGCCCATTGACGGAAGGAAAATAGCAGAGGCACGTGTGAATTTGGCCCATGACACATGGTTAATTTGGATGACAGTGAGGACAAGAATGTTTATCTTAAGCTCTGACATACTGAGAAAATCCAGAATTTAAGTCCTTAGAGAAAGCACTGTATTACATGAATGTAAATAATTCCACTGCCTCTTCTATGAACTTATAGTTGTCACTTTGACTTTGCTGAGTGTGACTGAGGCAGAGACTATATTTCTGTTTTAAATTTCTAACTTATAAGAAGTTGATTGAAGACTTAGACTTTCTTTTCCATGTTTCAGCCTCATTCTAGTATTTTTTTTTCTATAAAAGAAACAATCCCATGGACCCAGGAAAAATCTGTTTGTCTTTCTGAATTCATTCCTAGGCCCTGGAGAAAAGAAAGGTCGAGGTGCTTCTCATGACTGCTGATAGTGGACGAGTGCTGGGAAAAGGCCGCATAAAAAATGGTACAGTTTTGGTTTCGCCTTGTGTTCTCCAGTAGACAGTTCTGGAAGAGCAAGAGTCCTTCTGGTGCTTCATTATTTCCATCTCCTATGAGGAAGTTTCATGGTCTTTAGGTGAAAATGGTTGGAAATTGAGGTCAAAACTGAGTTAGCATGTTAATCAGCTTTTTGCTGCTGTGACCAAAAAAACCTGACAACCTTAGAGAAGGAAAAGCTTATTTGGGGCTCACAGTTTCAGACATTCAGTCCATGGTTGGCTGATTTCATTGCTCTGGGCCCAAGATAAGGCAGGACATGATGGATATCATGGTAGAAGAAGCAATGCTCTACTCATGGCAGCTGAGAGGCAAAGACAGAAAGAGGAAATACCCTCAAAGAAGATGAACCCTTCCAGGAGAGCTCTTAGTGATCCACCTCCTCCAACCATGCCCCACCTGCCTACAGCTGCCACTCAGTCAGTCCATTCAAACTAAGATGGACTGATTAGGTTACATCTCATAATCCAATCATTTTACCTATATTTCTGCATTAACACAAGAGCTTCGGGGGGAATACCTCTTATCTAAACTATAATAGGAAGCCAGGCCCTATCTTCCTGTTCCACCAGTTGTTACCCCCAGAGCAGCATAACACAGAACACTTACTTCATCTTCCTCAATCCCTTGGTAGTCCAGAAGGGGTTCTGACTGGGATCAGAGTAAAGGTTATTTCCAATGCTGTCAAATCACTCTTAATTGAGAAACAGGGAGCAGATGAGTGTCAAAAATAGCAATGCTATGAACCTGGCCTTGGGAGCTGGTAGGGTAAATAAATTCATAAAATAAAGCAGTGGGGGTGCTGTAGATGTAGCTGAGCAATAGAGTGCTTGCCTAGCATGTGCAGAGTCCTGGGCTTAATCCCTAGCACAGCCGGAAAAAAAAAATGTGGGAGGGATATAAATTACAAGGAGCAAACACAGGTTGATATGCAGGACAATGCATAAAAGTAACACACAAATGGAGATGAAAAAAAAGGATAAGGGTGTGCCCCTATGTGATAGAGTACATACTTAATATTAGCAAGGCCTTTGGCTCAATCCCAAGCACCTCCTCCAGTCCCCAAAAGAGGTTAAGTGTCCTAGAGTCAAGTTTTGGGTCTTAGGTGATTTATCTCTCTGAGATGAATTTTTTCATTCAGCCTGTCTATTCATCAGCATCACATGGTAGTTTATTTAAATTGCACTTGTTACTTTAAGTTCTCTATACATGCTAAGTGAAGAGATTTCTTTAAAAGCCCTTTGTATATTGCATGTGTGGGTTATATCTTTATTGCTAGTCACCAAATGAAATGTCTGAAGCTTGTATACATAGGAGGTGCTGAACCCAGCTCTCTAGTCTATTTCTGTTAGTATGTCTTCTGCAGTTTGGGGACCCTGGTGGAGAGATTGTGACAAACTCTAGGTTCTCAATCAAGTCACAGCAAGACTTTATGCACTGTTTCTCCTTTCCCACCACAGTGCTGGTCACTCTCCACATGAAGAATATACATAAAGGAACTTACAAAGAACTTTCTTCAATTCAGGTAAGGACATTTCAGAGATGCAAACTGATAGGGAAATTCTCAGCAGAAAACTGAGTTGGTTCAGTTAAAAGTTTAATCATTTGTGCCCTAGAATGCCTATTCTAGGTGGTTTTAGGTTCAACTGAATCAAAATCACATGCTCAAATTACCAGGTCCATACCCCACAGCTATAGAAAGTCCACTGTTACTTTTTTTTTTTTCAGTGCATTTCTTATACTTCACTAAAAAAGTGAACATACAAAACACAGTTTTAGGGGCAGATGTAGTATTAAATGAATATAAGGAAAAAGCAAAGCTTTTGAGCCCCCTACTTTTTAATTTTTTTATTTTTTAACTACACGACAGCAGTGGAAAGGATTACAATTCTTATTACACATATAGGGCACAATTTTTCATATCTCTGTATATAAAGTATGTTCATGCCAATTTATGTCTTTATACATGTACTTTGTTGGTTTTTTGCATTACAATTCTTAATACACATATATACCACAATTTTTGTATCTCTGTATATAAAGTTTGTTGACACCAAATTCAAGTCTTCATACATGTACTTTGTATAATGATGTCCATCACATTCCACTATCCTTGCTAATCCCCTGCACCCTCCCTTTCCCTCCCACCCCTCTTCTCTATCTAGAATTCATCTATTCCTCCCATGCTCTCCCTCCCTACCCCACTATGAGTCAACCTTCTTATATCAGAGAAAACATTCCGCATTTGTTTTTTTGGGATTGGCTAACTTCACTTAGCATTATCTTCTCTCTACTATCAGCGCCATCCATTTACCTTCAAATGCCATGATTTTGTTCTTTTTTAATGCGGCGTAAAATTCCATTGTATATATATGCCACATTTTTTAATCCATTCATCCACTGAAGGACATCTAGGTTGGCTCCACAGTTTAGCTATTGTGAATTGTGCTGCTATAAACATTGATGTGGCTGTGTCCCTGTAGTATGTTGTTTTTAAGTCCTTTGGATATAGACCAAGGAGAGGGATAGCTGGATCAAATGGTGGTTCCATTCCCAGTTTTCCAAGGAATCTCATACTGCTTTCCATATTGGCTGCGCCAATTTGCAGTCCCTCCAGCAATGAGTGGACCTTTTCCCCCATATCCTCGCCAATACATATTGTTGTTTGTCTTCATAATAGCTGCCATTCTGACTGGAATGAGATGACAAAATAGAGTAGTTTTGATTTGCATTTCTCTGACTGCTAGAGATGATGAGCATTTTTTCCTATATTTATTGATTGATTGTATCTCCTCTTCTGAGAAGTGTCTGTTCAGGTCCTTAGTCCATTTGTTGATTGGGTTATTTGTTTTTTCAGTGTTTAGCTTTTTGAGTTCTTTATATACCCTAGAGATTAGTGCTTTATCTAATGTGTGAGGGGTAAAAATTTGCTTCCAGGAATGTAGGCTCTCTGTTCACCTCACAGATTGTTTCTTTTGCTGAGAAAAAAACTTTTTAGTTTGATTCCATCCCATTTATTGATTCTTGGTTTTAATTATTACGCTATAGGAGTCTTATTAAGGAAGCTGGGGCCTAATCCCACATTATGAAGATTAGGGCCTACTTTTTCTTCTATTAGATGCAGAGTCTCTTGTTTAATTCCTAGGTCCTTGGTCCATTTTGAGTTAAGTTTTGTGCATGATGAGAGATAGGGGTTTAATTTCATTTTTTTTATTTAACATTGATTTTATTTATTGCATCTTACTTAAATATCTATAATTCTATAACCATTTTTATAATTGAAATAAATTTATGTTTAAAAATAATAATACTTGACTGAAGACCATAATTTTGGAATCCTAACATGTTAATATAAAAATGGAAGTCATATCTACTCTTAGTCCATTCTTTCTTTTTCTTTTTTTTTTTTTAATTTTTTTTTATTGGTTGTTCAAAACATTATAAAGCTTTTTTTTTCTTTCTTTCTTTTTCTTTACCCTTCCTTTTCACTTTCTTCACCTTTTATCTTCTTTTTTTAAAATTTTTATTGTTGGTTGTTCAAAACATTACATAGTTCTTGACATATCATATTTCACACTTTGATTCAAGTGGGTTATGAACTCCCATTTTTACCCCGTATACAGATTGCAGAATCACATCGGTTACACATCCACTGATTTACATATTGCCATACTAGTTTCTGTTGTATTCTGCTGCCTTTCCTATCCTCTACTATGCCCCCTCCCCTCCCCTCCCCTCTTCTCTCTCTACCCCATCTACTTTAATTTCATTTTGTTGCATATAGATCTCCAGTTTTCCCAGCACCATTTGTTGAAGAGGCTATCTTTTCTCCAGTGCATGTTTTGGGCACTTTTGTCCAATATAAGATAATTCTAATTTTGTGGTGGAAGGATCTACCTTGCTCTTGGATAGGCAGAATTGATATTATCAAAATGACCATATTACCAAAAGCACTATACAGATTCAAAACAATTCCAATCAAAATCCCAATGGCATTCCTCATAGCAATAGAAAAAGCAATCATGAAATTCATCTGGAAAAATAAGAGACCCAGAATAGCTAAATCAATTCTAAGCAGGAAGAGTGAAGCAGGTGGAATCACTATACCAGAACTGAAACTATACTACAGTCAATAGTAACAAAAACAGCATGGTATTGGTACCAAAACAGGCCAGTAGACCAATGATACAGAATAGAGGACACAGAGACTAACCCCTACTTTTTTGTGTCTGTTTTCCATTAAAGAGACTCTTCCCTAAATTAGACAAGGTAGAACCCACATAGTTAAAGGGTAGCAAATACTTGAACTCGATGATGTTAGAGGTTTTAAATTTAAAAATTTAGATTAAGTACTTTTTTTTTGACTGTTCGTTTTTGAGTCAGTTTTTTATTAGGTTCTAGGTATATATTGGTCAAACAGACACATTCCTTGCTGTGTAGAAGCTATATCTAGGTTTGTTTACTGTGTGTGGATGTTCTCTTGCTGCCTTTGTTCAAATTGATATTCTCTTAAAAAAAAAAAAAGATGGACAAATCATCCAAGCGCGGTAGCACACATCTATAATCCCAGCTATGCAGGAGGCTTAGTCAGGAGGATAACAAGGTCAAGTTCAGCTTGGGAAACTTAGATCTTGTCTCAGTATATACCTCAGTAGTAGAGCATTGGTCCAGCATGTGTGAGGCACTGGGTTCAATGTTGAATTCCCAGTACTGAAAAGAAAAGAAAAGAAAAAAGATGAGCTAGTCCAGATGAGAGAGTGCTGGAAAACAGTGGGATCTCCTGGATCTCAGTGGGCTGAAACCAAAAGGCAATAGTTAGTTATACAATATTTACATTAAAATCAAAACAAAATAAAAGTAGAAAATCTTCATGGGAAAAATGCAGAAAGGAAGATATCAGTTTAACAATCTGTTATTGACACTATGTTGCATGAAAGATATTTTGGAAGTTATGTTTCACCTAAATAAAGTCCGTGACACCTACTGCCAATAGGTCTTAAAACTTAGGTTTTATTGATAGAAATGATATCATCACATTTCTTCATACTTTAAGAATACATTTGAAGCATTTGTTTTTTTGAATTTTTTTCTGCTTAGGTCATCATGTCTTAGGTTGCATTTTAACAAAGTGGAATACTTCCAGGTGACATGGTTTAGAGGTTATGTAAAGATAAACTAAAAGAACAAGGAATGAGTCTCACATTAAAGATAAGATTCATTTAATGGGCATCTTAAAAGTTTATTTTCATATTTGAAAGGGAAATTCTTTTTAGTTCCATTAGTTTCAATGACACCAAAAATTAATGAAAAACCCATATTAGCTCATTATAAGGATTATAATTTCTAACAATCTGATTGCTCCAAAAATTAAATGAACTGCCTTAAGTAGCAAAGAATTCTTTATCATTACAATAACAAAGCTTGGTCCAATATTTAGAGAAGACCATGCCTATGTGAAGTGAGAAATAATATACTAAAAACTGGAATTTTAAAAAGCCTTTCTAATGTAAAAACTATGAGTCTCATTCTGCTTGGAGAACTATAACAAAATATCACAAATAGAGAAGCTTATAAACAACAAAATTTATTTCTCATAGTTCTGGAGGCTGGAAAATCCAAGCTCAGAATGGTGGAAGATTTGATATCTTGTGAAAGCTATTTCCTGGTTCTTATATGGCATCTTTTTCTATGAATAGGCAAGGCAGCTCTCTAAGGCCTCTTTTCATAAGGGCACTAATCCTTTCCATGAAATCACTTACTAAAGGCCCTGCCTCTTAATACCATCACCTTTAGGGCAAAGATTTTAAGTATTTGTGGGGTTCATGAAGTGCTAAGATTATATGATTTAGGGATCTTGTGAAATTAAGAGGAGGTTGCAAGAGCTTGAACCATTTGGCCTCAGTTTAATTAGTCTTAAAATATTGAGACTATTTTGAAATTTAATAAAAAATTTTAAAAAATCTAAATATAAAGACCACCAGGCAGAAATAAAGATAAGGTCAAACCATATGAATTTGTGGTAAATCAAATTGGCAGCTCAGGTGTGAGGGTTCCAATTGAAGGGTCCCAGAGTTGGAGATTGTGATAGTAATGAGACAGCAGAAATTCAAAAAAACAGATTAACTTCATAGTGCTAGAAGGAACAGAATTCAAAGGGTCAACTACAGAGTGCAGCCAGAATAGAGAGGCTAGCAAATCCCCAGGAACTGGAAAGATAAAGGAACTAGAGGGCATACTATGATGGAAAGGGAAGAGTGAGCACTTACATGTTTGAGAATAGTAGGTTTGGGGAATACTTCTTCTCATTCATTCATTCATTCATTCATGTTGCTGGGGATTGAACCCAGGGCCTCAATAGCCAGGCAAGCACTCTACCACTAAGCTACATCCACAAAACCCCAAATGGGGAATTCTCTTTTAAGGGAATTCACCATTTTCAGTATTCATTTGTTGAACATTCAGTGCTTCCTTTGTATCAGTTATTTCCTTACTAGACCTCTACTGTGATCATTGAAGAGAATGAGAAAACTCTATTTCTAGAAGTTTTCAGATTCTATTTCTAGAATGTTCCAGAAAGAGCTATGTTGGAATGGCAATTAATTTTACTAAACCTTAAGATGACCAGTGAAATCACAAGAGGAATAACAGAACAGGAAAGTGATATGAGAATGGGAGAATAGAACTCAGAGTTTGTGAGCAGTGATAGATTGTTCTGAGTTGCAAAGAAGTGTGAGAACTGGACTTTACAATTTCCTTCTTAGCAATTCAGAGCTTCTAAGTTGTATAAACATTTTCTAAATTGTTTCTTGACTTTTCTCAGGGTCATAGTCCTATAATGATGATGGTATACACAGTGAACTCTTTTGACTCATGGGGTGTTGCCCACCACCTTCCAGACGGACATAGTGAGTATTCCTTAGTTCCTTTCTCTAGAGAACATGTGATACAGATGGCACCGACCTGTTTGTTTGCTTATTTCTTCTAATTAGTGTATTTGAGATTTAGAAGATAAGACTCCTACATGTTATAACTTTATAAACATCAACATAATTAAGTAGATATCTGAAGGTAAATGACCACAGAGCATCGACATGAAAGATATCATTGTAATTGAAATTTAAGTTTTAACAGTTTTCATTCTAATTATATTTACTGAGGCTATAAAAGTAATTAGAATGAGTTGTTCTAACAAGTAGGGGAATTGCATGAAGGGGAATTGGATGGAAGAAGGAAGTTATCTGGCCTCTGATTATCTGATCTTGATTTGCCAGTCCTCTCTGGAGAATTGTTGATAATCATTAAAATGGATTTCAGCTAGCCAGGTGTGGTGGCTCACATCTGTAATCCCAGTGGCTTGGGAGGCTGAGGCAGGAGGATTGCAAATTCAAAGCTAGCCTCAGCAAAAGCGAGGCACTAAGCAACTCAGTGAGACCTTGTCTCTAAATAAACTACAAAATAGGGCTGGGGATGTGGCTCAGTGATCAAGTGCCCCTGAGTTCAATCCCTGTAACCAAAGTAAAATAAAATGGATTTCAAAGGTGCTATAATTTCAGACCAATCACAGTTAGAAATAAGACCTTCAGAAACAGTAAATTGGACATTTATGTACCTGAGGCAAAAAGGCACAACACCAAATATTTTATATGTGCAGTTTGTGCTAGAAAAAAATATCCTCTCAAACATGAAACCCAGAGGAAAAAAATAATAAATGACTTTGGGTTATGAAAACAAATCTGGGAATAATTCCATGAATCCTTTATTGAATGGATTGGAATGCATCTCAATCATTTCACACATTTTCTGGGTCTGAGATTATGGTGGACCTTGAACATTTTAGGGATTAGGTGATTTGAATATCCATGAGGACTTATAAATTCTCTCAAATTCAATTTACTCCTCCTTTTTACCTTTTCTTCCTGCCTCTCTGCAGTGTTACTTAAGGATGTACGTGAAATGCTCAAGCTTAGGTTCTCCCTCAACTTCTACATGTTCCATGGTGGCACCAACTTTGGTTTCATGGGTGGAGCTCAACATTTGAATGGTTATTACCCTGTTGTCACCAGCTATGGCAAGTACCTGTATCTCAGAATTGTCCTCAATATTGACTACCCCCACATTGGAGACTGAAGCTTCTTAGGTTAGGCCCCCAAAGACAATCTCTAGAACTGTTTGCCTGTTTTGCCATTAACATGTTGGGGATGGAGGATTAGGGATTTGTTCTTCTTGACAGTACCAAAATTTACCTACCATGAGGATTTGGGCTCTCAGGGACTTTGCAAGCAGAGAAGGTAGTAGCCTAATCTTCTTCATTTGTTGTACAGACCCTTGTCTTAAAAGTTCCCTCCAGAGCCAGTTGCTTTGGGTATCCACTAATGTGTCTTCCCTAGTACACAAGTCTACTAAGATACCTTCCCTAGAAAAGGTGAATGAAACAAAGGAGTTCACTTAGAAATTGGATAAGAAGGAGAAACCAATAGGCACTATGGTTTGAGCCTTGGGCTCTCAACCAGGGCTTAGTGGGAGACCCATGGACGGGGGCTTTTTTGCCTCTTATTGAAAGCCCTGCAAAGCTTTTCAGATGTCTCTTAGTTTGAACAACAGGGACGTGGAATTTTCTTATCTAGTGCCCCCTATTTTTTTTTCTCCCAAAGCTGCTGAATTAAGGATCTTTTGCTCAGTACCAACCTCTCCTCTTTTCCTGGAGAAAGAAAATGACAATGAGCCTTTCTTGGAGAAAACAATAAAATTTTTTGTATTTTTCAGAGTATGGGGCACTGCTGAGAGAGAATGGAGATTACACGCCTGAGTATACCACATTTCAAGAGGTTTTTCGGTCTGTTATAGGTACTCTGCAACAACCTCAATATGAATGGTGACTTAGTCTTCTCAAGCAGGAAGGGAGTGAGGGACTGGGTGAACATATTTTGGAGAGAAGTTTGATTTGCTACAGTTTATTTTATCAGTAGGCACTGGGAGTATGCACAAGATATAGAGCCTGCTGCTATTTTTATTAGGTCGTTTTAGTTATATATAATGCCAGGATTCATTTTGACATAATTGTAAAAGCATGGAATATAATTTGTTCTACTTCAGGCCCTAGTATTTCCTCTTTCCCTCTCCTTCTCTCTCCCCCTGTTCTCCTCCTTCTACTTCACTGATCTTTCTGCTATTTAAAATTTTTTAATTTTAAATTTTTAAAATTAGTGTCTTGTGGATATACATGATGGTGAGATTTACTGTGGTATATTCATATATACACATAGAAAAGTTAGGTCAGATTCATTCCACTATCCTTCTCTATCCATCCCTCCATCCTTCCCTTCATTCTTTATCTGCTCCACTGATCTTTCTTCTATGTTTTTAATCCTCTCCTTCTTTTGGATTAGCTTCTGCATATCAGAGAAAACATTCAACCTTTGACTTTTGGGCCTGGATTATTTTTTTTAGCATGAGAGTCTCCAGTTCCATCCCTTTATTAGCAGATGCCACAACATCATTATTCTTCATGGCTGTGTAATACTCCGTTGTGTATACATGCTACATTTTCTTTATCCATTCATATGTTGAAGGCCACCTAGGTTGGGCTCCATATCTTGGCTATTGTGAATTGTGCTGCTATAAACATTGATGTGACTCTGTCACTGTAGTATGCTGATTTTAAATCTTTTGAATAAAGGTGTTCAGCACAGGACCATGTTGCTTTGGTCTTAGTTGTACATGGAATCCTCTGTTGAACTTCTAAATTTCAGATGTTCCAGGTCCTTCTCAGAGCTATTATATAGGTATGTTATATGGCCTAGTTGAAATGGGAAAGGAGGTGGGGGAATCTGCGAGCATGTGCATTTTCCATTGGACTTTAGGAGATTCTGATGAGCAGCCTGGGTTCAGCAGGTGGTATTAATGTGCCCCTTCTTCTTCCAGGATAGCAAGGCACTTGTCTCAGAGCTTAAAGGTATGAGAGGACCCTTACTTAATCATTTCCTGCTTTGATTCTTCTGAAATTAGGAAGTTATGTCGTGACTGGGCCCTTTATTCTTGATGGCTTTGGGATAGCAGGGTATCTAGTGTCTTTGATTTGGTTTGGGAGGGGGTCCTGGAATGATCCAACTTTGTGTTTTCTCATTGCAGCAGCTCCTATGCCCCTCCCGCTAAATTACATACCAAAGAATGCCTATAAGTCAGTGACACTATTATACTTCATGACACTATGGAACCTGCTTCCCTACCTGGACTTGGTGAGCATTTCCTGGGCATAGACACATGGAAAATATTTTGGATAAAAGAGAGAGAATTGAAATAACATGGAGTAAATGAATAAGGGAAAAAAGGAATCCTTAAAGGTGTTGGTTCCTTCTACCAATTTTATAATTCAGATAGGAAACCTTTCTTTGATTAGAAATCAAAGAAAAATGAGTTAGGGAAAAACTGAATACTAATTCCTATAACACTCATTGAATATTCATTTTGGGAACTATATTGTTAAGATGATGTTTTAGGCAACTCCCAGTCTAATGAGTAAGAAAAGTGAATGAAAAAGTGATTATAGGGTCATAGGTCACATGGAAGAGGAAATGAGGCAGCACAGTGTTGTCAAGGGAACATGCTGTGCTAAAAAGTACAAACACTGGAGTCACTGAGTTGAGTCTTTGCTCCAACATTCACTGGCTGTGAGACCTTAGGGAGGTCATTTAACCTCACTCTATCTAAGTTTCCTCATCTATAAAATAAGGCCCTTAATTGTTCTTACCTCATCAGATTCTATATGGATTCAGCAGTTAATGTCTCGATTTGTGTGTATATGTGAGTGAAATTGAAAGTATGTCTTTACCGCTGATTCACATCCCTAGACCTTTTAATTTTTAAAAAAATTTGTGACGAGTTCTCATTAAGTTTCTGAGATTGAGCTTGAACTTGCAATTCTCCTGCCCCAGCTTTCCAAGTCACTGGGGTTACAGGCATATGCCACCATGCCCCACTGTGATGTGCGTTGTTTTGTGTAATTTGATGGCATTTTTAAAAAGTGGAGAGAATAGTAGGGAACCCCCATGCACCTAACACCCAGCTTCAAGTTTATCAATACAAGGCTAATCTCATTTCACCTATACTCTCCTCTTCTCCCCTTACCTTTTACAAGGTTATTTTGAAGCAGATCCCAGACTTATCCAACTCCAGCTATAAATCGTTCAATATGTATACCAAAAGATGTTTCTTTTTTTAATAAAAGCAACAAAATCATTATTATCCTTAATAATAATGACAATATTAATTCCTTAGAATTATTGATTTTCTGGGAAATGTTTAGCAACTGGCTTGGAATTAAATGCTGGTTCATAGTGTTTGCTGATTTCTGGTGGGGAAATATTCCCACCATGGTTAATTTCAGACTGCTAATATGATGATGCTGATCACAAGCTGGGAAGATACATCCATGGGTGGTTGTAACAAGCTCATACAAGCTATCTCTAACACACCACAGTTTAAAATAATAAAATAGCCAGTACTTGAATTTCTCAATTATCTTGAACTTCTTTTTTAGCATTGATTTGTTCATGTCAGCATCTATGAAGTCTATTATACATCATTTGATGTGTCTCTTTAGTCTCCTTTAATCTAAAGATTTTTTTATTTTTATTTTATTTGTTGAAAAAGTTTGATTATTTGTACTATAGAATTGCCTACGTTATGAGTTTTTTTTTGCTGATTAGATCACCACTATGTCAAGTAACACGTTTCTAGACTCATTATCTATATCTCAGTTTGATAGGTAGTTAGATCTAAATGCTTGATGGGATTTAAGTTAAGTTTTTTTTTTTTTTAAATATGTTTGCAAGTATACTTTGTAAATGGTGCTATTGTACTTTTTATGCATCGTATTCTAGGCACATAATGCTTGTTGTTTCTGGTTTCATAACTGATCAGTGGGTTCAGGAGCTGTTAGTTTCCTTTCTTCATTTTCATTTTCCCATCAACCTTCTACCCAAAGATTTTATCAGCCATTGACAAATATTGCATTAAAATTTCTTGTGGTGGGAGTATTTACACCACAGAAATTGCAAACACTACAAATCAGTGTTTTTTCTTCCAGAAAGACAATTGCTAAATGTTTTCCAGAAAATCAATAAATTTAGGGAATTGTATTTATAACATTTGTGATAAATTGTATTTATTACATGTTGTGATGATGATTTTGTATTTTTTTAAGAGTTCTAATTTTTTGAGATGTTCATTGAACTATTTAAAATCCTATGCTATCTGCTTTAAAATAATACTGTAAGGGATAGGGAGGTAATAGTAAGGAATAGATGAAAGTCATGTCTTGATAAATTAAACCAATATTTCATTATAGGCCTTGAAAATGGTATTATTCTAATTCTGCAATTCCTTCTGCATTTACTCACTTGAATTCTTATAACAGAAGAACTCAATTCTTCATCAATTATCTTATTCTGAAGTGTAGTTTAAATAGAAACATCAGGACAAAAGTTCAAGTATTTTCTTTTATCAGTAAAATGATTTTTTCCTACATATCCTCCAAAGTTAGCTAGTGAGTTGTTTTTCTAATGTTCTTTGTATGATTATAAACTCATAATTTTTTAAAACACATTTACCAATTTTCCACCCTATTGCATTTCTTTTTGATGCTCAAACTATCCCATCTTAGCCCAGCAGGAGCCCTTCAAATTGGCTTTATATCCTCTTGATGTGATTCCCATAGCTTTTGATATCTTCTTTGCTTTTTGATCCCTCTAGATGTTTTAGACTATATGGCTCCAGAGACCTGGAATAATCAGTATTTCTCCAAGAAGTTCATAAGGGCCATTTCTTTTTTTATTTGTTTTTTTTTAGTTACACATGATAGTAGAATGTATTTTGACATATCATACATACATGGAGTATAACTTTCCATTCTTTTTTAAATATATTTTAGTTGTTTACAGACCTTTGTTTTTATTTACTTATTTATATGTGGTGCTGAGAATTGAACCCAGTGCTTCACATGTGCTAGGCAAGCACTCTACCAGTGAACTCCAACTCCAGCCCCTAACTTCCCATTCTGTGGTTGCACATGATGTGGAGTTACAGTGTTCTTGTATTGATATATAAACATAGGGAAGTTATATCTAATTCATTCTACTGTCTTTCCCATTTTCATCTCCTCTCCCCATAGGGCCATTTCTGTGTGCTAAGAAGTTTGAAAATTTCTCTGGAAGCTATGAGAATCCATCATAAAGCAAAGCTAGGAGTTTCTTCTGCATTTCAGAAGAATTTGGTAGTTCTGTGAGGTACAGCTTAGGGTGGGACCATGCTAGGACACTTAAACCATATAGAAGTATACTGAACTTGAGCTTGGTGATAGGTATGAAGAAGGAGGGTTAGGGAAATAGACATTTAAAGTCAGACTCTAAAGTAGGTGATGACTGGATGATATATAGGATGTGGAGAGGGAGGAAGAAAAAGAGAGAGGACACTCTCCATGCTTTATACATTTTTGACTGGATGGATGGTGATCCTCTTTTTTAAAGGAAAGAGAACAGGGTGTAGATATGTCATGGTGCCTACAATTTGGATAATATTGCATGGAAAACATTCATGGACCTCCAGATGGAGAAGTCTAGTGGACAGGAGGGTAAATAGCCTTGGAGCACTCTAGGTTAGTACTAGAAAAAGCAATTTTATGAAGAAGTGTGGACAATTAAAGTGTGAGCTAGAACGATCTCTCCTAAAAGATGCAAAAAGGGAAAAGAAGAGAAGGCGAACAGTAGACATAATCTGGCACAGCTGGGTAGGAATTCTGGGGACCAGAAATCTTGTCCAGACTCTACCATGAGTTAATGAGGAAGGCCCACAAATCACTCTCTCTTCTTGACGGCAGCTCTTTCATTCAAAATATAAGAATAACTCATTGTCTAGTAAATGCAAAGAAATATGAGGTTTGTTTAGTAAACAAGAAGGATAATTTATATGCTGCACATAAACATGAGTATCCTCTCATATTCCTTTTGGATTGTTCTGTTTGCGAGGCTGTGGGGGTCATTCCTTTGGAGAACTGGGCTTTGATTGGCAGTTTCTGAGATTTTTCTCTACAGCCTGAACCTTCAGCCTGTTTTTTTTTTTTTTTTTTTTCCTGTCTTTGCGACAGCCAACCAAGTCTGTAAAGCCACTCACCATGGAACAGCTGTCTGTGAATGAAGGAAGTGGTCAATCCTATGGGTACACGCTTTATGAGACTGCCATTTCCAGTGATGGCATCCTCACCTCAAAGGGCCATGTTCAAGATCGGGGTCAGGTAGGGTGCCATGAAGGGGTTCTAGTTATGCTCATCTGTTGTCACTAACAAACTGTGTTCCTGAGGGTGAATGTCTACATGGTGGGGTAAACCATTTTGACCTTCAACTGTTTCTTAACATCTGTTCCTTCCTTGAAATCTTTTATATATAGACTAGTGTGTGTCTGAGGTACACAGATACCCCTGGGAATTGTATCACTAAAACTTACAGGAGCTGATGATTTTTTTAAATTTTTTTTTCTCCTGATGGTGTTTTATAAAGAACTTACATAGTCCCTATACTTATTTTATATCAATCCTTAATATTTCCATTGCATATTACAGTTGTTGTTCTCATTTAACTCTTAAAACGGCTGAGTTATTTGTTACAAACAAGGAAACCTCAGCATGTTAGATTTCTTTTGCCATGAACGTATACATGAGAAAATGGGCTTAAAAGGGGGAAAGATTTATTTTAGTTTCAAAAGATTCAGTCCATGTTGCCTGGCTCTGTTGCTTTGTGCCTGTAGTAAGGAAGAACATCATGGCAGACACACATGGTGGAAGAAAGCTGCTCACCTTATGGTGACCAGGAGGCAAATAGAGAGGGCAGAAGAGGTAATCCCAAATGTCTTAACTTCCACTAGCTCCTATCTCCTAAATTTTCTATTACTTCCCAATATCACCACAGATTGGGAGCCAAGACTTTAGTTAATGGGCCTTTTGGGGTACACTCCAGACCCAAACCATAATACTCAGAGAAACTAAATGACTTTCAAAAGCTGTTCAACTAGAAAGCTGCAGAACTGCAACTGAAGCCTTCATCACATGGCTTCAAGTTAAGAGCTGTTTTCTCTAAGCATTGTGAAATTTTCTTGCTGTCATACTTTTTATATCATCTTCCTCCCAGTCTTCCAGTATAGGTCAATTATAGGTCAAGGTTAGAAAATCCAAACTCTGAAGTACTCAGAAATTCAAAGCTTGTTGAGTGCCAATATGATGCTCAGAAAGTTTCAGATTTTGGATTTTTGGATTAGGTATGTCCAACTTGCACAGTCTATGAAAGTATTAACAGCAAAAAAAAAAAAAAATCCAAAATTTGAAACACTTCAGGTCCTCAAGACTTCAGACAAAGGATATTCAACCTCTACTTCTATTTTGTGTCTTCAGCCTTCCCCTCCCTATCTTTAGCTACAGACCATATTTCTTACTGTTTCCTGTACATTTATCCTTACAGTGTATGTTCCATAATTTTCAAATTCATCACATCCAAAGCAAAACTCACTATCTTCCTAACTAAGCCTCATATTGGCTTATATACTCACATCCTCTCAACCTACAAATATTGTTCTCTTGTTCTCTTGACTGCTTTTCTTTATTACTTATTTTCAACTGGTCCCTGTGTGGTTCAGTATTATTCAGTTGTTCTTTTAATATACAGACTGTTATTGCATTAGACTTGTTCTTGTGTTTCACATCTCCTATTGGAATGTCAGAATATCTCTTACTATTTCAGACTGCTTGCTCTCATCCTCTGACCTCTTCCTTGCTGAACACATAGTGCTGTCAGTGTTTTCTCTCTCAGGTAAAAGTCTCATCATGGCTACTTCTCTTCTTACAGTCATCCCTTAATTCCACGATTCACCCATCACCATGCCTGTGAAGTAGCTTGGGGTCTGCTGCTGTTTAGGATGTGTCATTCCTTTCTCATTAGTTCCACAGTAGTCTGTCCACTAGTTCAGTGTCTCCATGGTTGCCACTATCATGTGTTCTGATCATTTCTTTGTATAGTTCCTTGGGTTCCTCAATGGCCAGCTTTATTTTAACCTAGTTGAACTCCTCCCTATGGAAATATTTAGTTCAACAGTAGTTGTTCAATAAATGGTCATAAGATATATAAACCTTATAATTAAACTCCAAGATTAAAATGTGAATTATGCATTTTTTAGCATTAATATTTTTTGTTTTTAATATTTGTGAATTTTTATTGTTCTTCCTAGTCAAATCTCATTTGAAAATTTGTGGTTTAATTTAAATAATATAAAAAGCAAAATTATTTGTCCTTATTTGGTCTTATATGGCTACAGTGGATTCTTCTGATTGACTTATTAATCTAAGGCTGAACAATATGATAGGTAATAGAAAAGAAATATATTATCTCTAAAACCAGGTAGAGTATGGCAGCAGATTAGAATTTCTAGATAAGAATCTGGTTCATCTGGCAAAACTGGGTCTATTGCAGAGTTGAACCCTTGGGGAAAGGCACTCTGACAGAACAGTTGCTGTTTCTCTAATTCTCTTGCTCACCCTTTGCCATCATTTCCCTCACAATACTGATTTGTTATCTACTTTATTTTTCCCACTAATCTTCAGATCTTTTTGATATTTTTTCCCCCTCTACATCCTGCAGTGGAGCTAGGGCCCATATTCCATATCGGGACACTATTGAATAGACCTCATCTCAAGCATTTCAACACTGTTCTACATTACATATAATCTGTTTTGTGAACTTATGATCAGCTTATAGATTTCTGGGAGACAAAATATTCATTATTTCTGATGTTTGTCTTTTCAAGTCTGTTTCCATTTTTTTTTTTTTTTTTTGCTTATGAGGACCTAACAGTACTTTCTTCTTCTTTGGCAGGTGTTTTTGGATGACAAGCACGTGGGAATCCTGGATCATTCCAAAGATGAGCTAACTATTCAGAAACATGTATATAACCAAATGCTGATTGACAAATAATTCTAGCACCTGCTAGGCCATGTACCCAACTATATGTGTGGTCTGCTCTATAATAGCACATTTTCTCCTTCACTGCCTTTTGGATTGATCCTTGCATAGGAACCCAATAGGAACAAGGGAAGGTTGTATACATCTCTAAGGTACAGATACATATGATTTGAGGGAGCAAAGCTTTTTTATTTTGAATTTTTTCTGCTCAAAATACAGGTTGGTCACTGGTTTCAATAGCATCTTAGATGAAGTGTGTGGGTTCCTCTTTCCTCCCTGGAAGACTTGGCCCAGAGAGTGGGGGGATGAAAAGGAAGGGCAGGAACCCAAGGGTTTGCCTGGCTTAGAGCTGGAGATCCACAGGGTTCTGCTGGCTGTTAGTCACCCTGCCCTTGTTCTCATCTCAGCTTCAGGGGAGGCCCAGCAGGTCTGCAGAAAAGTATCTGAGTAGTATTCACTCTGGTGGGTCTGTCTTCCACAGGACCACTTGGAATACCACACTCTAAGGATCTTGGTGGAGAATCAAGGCCGACTCTCCTCTGGGAAGAGCATGAACCAGGAGAGAAAAGGTGGGCTCCAGATGCAGATGCTGAGAACTCTCAGCACTCCGGACTGAGAGCAGATGGAGACAGGCATATGGTTGGAAGAGAGCATGCTCTTTGGCTGTGAGACACCTATGTATAGAAACTGTGATGATTCCTTTGTGTTCTGTAATTACCAAGCAGAGCCAGCACTGGGCATTTTTTTTGGGGGGGGGATTTCAAAAGTAGCTCCATCAGGAGAAATTTATAGAGGTCTCCCTGGCCAGGGGTCCTCTCTCAGGATTTTGCCTCTTCCTTCCTAGGAGGCTAGACCTGTGTATGTCCTTCCCTGAACCCCAGAACTCCCAGGCAGAGTCACACATCTTCCTTCTACCCTTAGTGATTTGACATGCATGAATGTTCCAACGAGTCTGAAGCCCTATGCCAGCCAGACCTGGAAGGAGCTGCTGTGACCTCTGTGCAATAAATGTGGAAGATGCAGGCACCATCTAGGAGAGATATACACTTAGAAGGAAAAATGTATGTAGGATTTGGGATAGAGATGTAGCTCATGGGTAGAGTGTTTGCCTAGCATTTGTGAGGTCCTGGATTCAGTCCCTAGTACTGCAAGAAAAAAGAGAGACAGGCAGACAGACAGACAAAGGAGAAAAATTATGTGTAGGAGTTTGCGGAAACCTTACAATGGGACTGGAATCCCTGGAATCCCCGGACATCTCTTCTCCCTTCCAGCCTCCTTTATGTCCCCCTTTTTTTCAATATCCTATAGGTTTAACTGGGGATATTTATCTGAACAATTCTCCATTAAGAAAATTTACAATATACAGCCTGGAAATGAAAAGTGTATTCATAAAAAGGTAGGTGCCTGACCATTGATTCTAGGTGATTGATAAAGATGGAGAGCATGTAGATATGGAAGAAGCCTCAGAGTTCCTCCAGATGCACCTCTGAGTTTTCAGATAGGGAAATCAGAGACCAGAATATTGAAGAAAATAATTCCATGTTTTGTAGCTGTGTGGAGGCAGCTGGATTCATGACTTACTGCATTATACATGCTGAAAGCATAGCCAGTGCCATAGAGGGGGATACCAGATTTCAGGGAAAAGACTGAAGAAAGGTATGACAATCCTATTTGACTCCCTTTTAGGAAACTCCCCAAAATCTGGAAGCTAATCACAGAGAAAGTTAAGGGCCCTGCCTTCTTCCTTGGTTACCTAAAAATCAGTGGTGATCCCAGAGACACCTTTATACAACTGGAGGTTAGTACAATTTATCCCTTGCCCATGTGTCATCCAACTACACACCCCTAAGAACCTTTTAACAAAGCTCATTTAGTGTATAGTCTCTGCCCTGTGTGAGGGAATATAAGCTCCCAAAGACCTCAGCTATTCTACAGCCATCTGGGAGATTGTCTCTCCCCCAGAGTTAAGTAGGGCAGGGTTAGAAGGTAAACAAATATGACAGAGATATGAGGAGTTGCCAGCACATATTGGCTGCCACACCTGAAATTCTGCAACTCTAGCTGTTTTGAGCCTGGCATATTTTAATGAGTACCTGTTGATAAGTGGAAATTCTCTCTCCTGGCTTGGGGCAGACACAGGGAGATGAATTAGAAATTAGTGCCTCCCTGAGGCTTGGATGTTGAGTTAATCCCCTGTCAGAGACAGTATCACAGGACTCTGGATTTACCTGCCACATAAGATTTTAGTTGGTATTCCACCCTGTCTGGGTATATCTGTACTGTGATTTGGTGTGTCAATGGTGTATGAGGTGTGTGTATTTGTGTGTGTGTCTTCATCCCTTATGTGTTTACATCTAGAATTTATACCCTGAATCCTGCATTCTCATGATTTTCAGGGCTGGAATAAAGGAGTAGTATTCATCAATGGACAAAACCTAGGACGATACTGGAGTATAGGACCCCAGGAAACTCTCTACCTTCCAGGACCCTGGCTCCATACTGGAACAAATGAGGTGAACCCACATGGTACCCCATCTCCACCAAGCTACTTCCTTTGAGTTCTTCTGCCTTGCTTCTGAGATGAAGCTTGAATTTCATGACTGCCCCACAGGATTTTTGTTTTTGTTCTGTTTTGTTTTTTGCAGATTATCTTGTTTGAGGAATTGGAAAGTGGCATAGAGGTTGGGTTTAAAATGGAACCTCATTTAGGTATGGCAATCTCTTTGTTTATTTTTGTGGTACTGAGGACAAAACTGAGGGCCTTGTGCATGCCAGAAAAGTATTCTACCCTGAACTACATCCCTAGTCCCTCAGTATGGCATTCTGAAGGGTAATGAGCTTTTTGGATCTTTCTAGATGTGATAGAGATTTTTTAAAAGGCAGGCTGTGCATTATCTCCCAGGACCCTGAAGCCTGCCTCTGTACACAGTGGATAAGATCTTCTCTTGTACCTGTCATAGCCCCATTCATGCCCTCCTGTTTAAAGATGAACTAATCAACTCCATTCTCTGACACCCTTACCCCAACTCCCTCAGCCTCCTTTCCCAGCATTCCTACTATATTTTCAGGGTCCCTTTTCTTATTGTGATCCAATCCAAACATGCCTCTTACTTATCTTGTCTGAGATATATTGTGCTTCCTAGGGCTTTTTCTCAGGCTTCCATATTACATAATTCCAAGACACTTTTTCTGGTTGCTGTAGGCAGGGAATGTATGGACTAATTATACAAAGCCTAACTGTTGCAGATGTTCTATATTTGTGTCTAGAGAATGCCCACTTTTTGGGTCCCTAGCCTCCCTAGTGCCTTTTGTTGGTAGTTAGATCCCAGTATCCTTTGTTTTTTTTCCCCCTTTCTTTTTTATTTGCATGTTAGACATGGAACCCAGGGTCTTGTGCGTGTTTGGCAGTGAGTCTACCCCTGGGCTATATCCTCAGCCCCAGATATACTTTCGGCAAACCACTCTCCCTTCAGTAGAGTCTTTGTGGACCTAATAATCAAGCTGTGCTTCCTCCCCATCGGTCACATGTGACATACAATAGACCAACCAGATTTTCTTTTCCAGGATATTGAGTCATAAGTGGTGTGTAGTAAATGGACTGAGCTGTCATGTGAGCAGTGGGGCTGTGAGTAACCCATCAATCCTGGCACTTTGGTCACCACAACCACCCTGGCTTCTCGATTCAGCTCCAGCTGCCTGGAGTCCACCATCCACTTCCTGATCTGCCAACATACCACTCTTCTGGCTTAAGTTATCCCACCTGTTTCTCATGTTTACTACAAAATAAGTCTACCCAGTGCACACCATTTGTCATGCTGCCACCTTAAAAGCTATAGTGACCACCAAATAAAATGTTGAAAAAAATGAGAAGATACTCAGAATACTTGATCTCATAAGTATAAATTGAAAGCAACAAGTCAAATAAAATACAAATGCATGCAGGAAATGACAGGCAATTCATATATGCTTTGTAAGTTTTAAATGCACTGTTTTCCTTTTATTGATCTTTCCATACCATTGGTATTCCATGCTCAGGTAAAAACCAGTTGTTCTTAGAGGCTGTCAACCTCTCCTTACCACCGTTAGTACCTGAATCAATGTCCTTTTTGATTCCCTGCTCTTACTCTGGGTTCTCCTCTGGATGGTTCCAACCCTTCTCAGCCATAACAAAGGGCAGAGATAAGTGTCTGAGCTCCTGGAGTGAATCAGCTTGGCCCAGTACAGGTAGAGGGTAGACTTACAGAGTTTTGTGTTTTTCAAGCCATTACAAATCCAGCATGGTGGGATAGCTGACAGGCTGTCAGGGCAGCTTGCAAAAGGTGAGTTGGCATGATATTAAGGGCTACCGAGGGGACTACCAAGCCAAGACAAAAAGGAATCTCAGCCAGATCTCGGAAGCTCCCTGACCTCAAATGAGGGCCAGGGTCAGGCCAGTTGCACAGAGGCCACTAGACCCTAGTCAGCCCAAAAGCTTAAGATCATGCAAAACCCCTTTTAACCTACATCTGTAAATGTTAGTGGCCAGCTGTACTTATATAAAAAAAGTAAGGAGCTACCTGCTTAGGTGTTTCCTTCATGTTCCATGCTGACTCCATTCTCTCATCTGAAGCCCATTAAGAAAGCAGAACAAATCTTAATTCCCTCTGTTTCTTTCTTCTCCCCTCCTTTACTGAGCGCCCCTAAGTATCGTGTTTCCCCATATCATAATCTTTTACCTTAACACTACGGCACACCCTCACAGTCACCTAGAAGGCTTGTTAAAACATTGATTTCTGGTCCTCATCCCTGGAATTTTATTTGGTTGGTATGGGGTGGGGGCCTGAGGATTTGTATTTCTAACACATTTGCAGTGATTCTCATATTGCTGGTCTGTAGGGGGTCACACTTTGACAAACTTTGCCATAAAGCAGGCTCTCAACTACATAGTCTGTGAGGCCAGATACTTCTTTGTGATGGGGACTGACCTAATCATGGTAGGATGTTTAGCAGGCTCCCTAGTCTCTCTACTTATTACATGCTAGAATCACCCACCCCCGAGTTGTGATAATCCAAAATGTCTCGTCAGATATCATTAAGTATCCTGGGGGGATCAAAACTCCTCCAGGTGTCCACACTGCTGAGGGGCATAACTGATTGGGCTAGAAATGACACTTTTGCTACTCTATTGGAAAGCACTGGAACTGGGGCCTTAGAGATCAACCCTAAATTTTTAAAAGGTAGAAAGGAATTTGGGAAGTTATCTTTTGGGACAATGTCTATCTGGGACCCCAAGTCTATTCTGCACAACACTAAGTTCTAAATAACAGAAACAGTCTATTATTTTTCTCTTGTATTACTTTTGAAACAAATTCTTATATTCTCAAAGATAAATGGGTTCCTTAGGTGAATTGGGGTAAAGATTATGCCCGGGGGAGGCTAAAGATAAAAATATATTACTCCCTTTAACACCTATAAGCAAGCAAACAAGACATGGGATGATGCACAAATTATATACATAAAAGGGAATAGCTCATCACTAGTGCCAGGCCTTCTGTCCTCCATCTTCATGACCACCAAGGGTTCTAGGCAATGTGGAGAGCTCTCAGACCTGCCATGCACTCTCATCCAAGTTATTCACTGGAAGAAAGTTTAAGGGGGAGAAGATTGTATGGCAGTGGTGATTCTTCACCAATAACCAAAAGTTAGCATCTTTGGTGAAATACTGGATCAAATTATAGAAAATAGTTTTTCTCCCCAAGTTAGGTGAAGTGTGTTTGCCCTTTCATTGTGTCTTTATGTTCTATCTTGATTTTAGGCATATAGGAGATGCACAAATAAGCTAAATTTAATTGCATTGAATATTCCCACCTAGATTCTGTAAAAAAAAATTGAACAGGGATACTAAATATCAATTTTATTTTTATTTTGTGAGGGTGGGGATTGAACCCAGGGTCTCACACATACTGGTAAGTACTTATCATTGAGCTATAACTCCTTAAAATTTGTGCTCCTCCTACCTCAGCCTCCTGAGTTACAGGGATTACAGCTGAATATCACTGAGCCTGGCCTCACCATCCCTTTTTTCCATATTTTTAAAAATTTTGCATTGTAATTGTACATATTGCTGGGATTTGTTGCTACGTAATTCTACATGTACTCAATATAATAATATAATTTGGCCAATATCATTCCCCAGCTCACCTCCTTTTAACATTTATTTATTTATACTAGGGATTGAATCCAGGAACACTTCAACCACTGAGCCACATCCCCAATCCTTCTATTTTTTTTTTTTTTTTGAGACAATGTCTCACTAAATTGCTTAGGACCTCACTAAATTGTGGAGGCTATCTTTGAACTTGCTATCCTCCTGCCTCGTCTCTCAAGTTGCTAGGATTACAGGCATGTACCCTCATGCCCAGCCTCATCCTCCCTTTTTAAAGCAAGTTAAATTTATTTTGTTTTTTGAATTTTTTCTTTTATTTAATTTTTTTCTTGGTGCATTATAATTATACATAATAGTTAGATTCATTGTTGCATATTTATACATGCATACAATGTAACAGTATATTTGGATCAGTTTTGTTCTCCAGTACCTTTCCTTTCCCTGATCCCCTTCCTCTATTCTATTGATCTCCTGTCTAGTATCATAAGATTCCCAATCCCAACCTTTTTTTCTCTCTACTTTCTTTCTACATATGAGAAAAAACATATGACCCTTGACTTTCTGAGTCTGATTTATCTTATTTACTATGATGTTCTCTACTCACATCCATTTGCTTGCAAATGACATGGTTTCATTCTTCAAATAAAAGTCAATTGTGTATATATACCACATTTCTTTATCCATTTATACATGGATGGACACCCAGGTTGGGGCCAACTATATGGAAAATACAAATTGTCGTTGCTTTTGGCACATGCATAAAAGGAGAGAAAATGATTGACACAGGGGACTGCGAGGCTGGCTGTAGCCACTCTGCAGACTTTAGATGATACCTTAATCTCAATCCCCATGCCAGCATGGCACCACTGGGGGCAAGTTTCAGACACTCTGCCACCTGAAGTCCAGTCAGTAGTCGACTTGCCATCCTGACTTGCTCACCAACATGTGGATGAGCAAGTGTCTCATTTGTTTTGTCTGACTAGGAGAAATCCTGAGTGTAGTCCTCTCATTTTGAAGAGACAGCAAAACAGACCCAATAGAGAAAACTTGTTCTCTGGAGAAAGAAACGTGGATTCACATGTCACCTAACCATCAGTATCATCCTCTAAATTCATTTTAGTAGCGTAGTCCAGAGATGGGGTGACACACTGTTGCTGACTTGCAGCAATAATCAGAGGAAGGCTCCTCAGAGAGATGAGGCTTGCTGCATTGCTTCTACTTTCCAGATGTCAGTAGCACCTAGGCCTCCAGTTGCAACAACCCAAAATGATTCCAAGCATCACCAAATGTCTTCTGGGGGTAGAAATTCCTCTAGGTGAGAGCACACTACCATGGGGCATTTCTGTTTCTCCCAATCAGAAATGACACTTTTCTAGGCTGGGTGTATATCTCATAGATTGTGTGCTTAGCATGCTCAAAGCCCTAGTTCTACACAGGAATACACAAAAGAAATGACACTCTTTCTACCCCGTAGGAAAACACTAGAACTGGGGCCTCATGTATCAACCCTTAATGAATAAAAGACAAATATGAAAGGATTTGGGAAATCCTGTTTCAAGATGATGGTGAATCTGTGGCTCCATTTTTCCTCTGTATAATTCTAGTTCTGAATAAACAAGGCTGAGGTACATCTCTGAAGCTGGTGATGTGCCTCTTGCAGTAAGAATTTTTCCATCCAAAAGCATTGAATTTCCTCTTGTTATGATGTGAATGTGTATTTTTTCTCCCAAGGGCCAATGTATTGGAGACTGGGTCCCCAAGGTGGTAGTGTTTGAAGATGATGGAACCTTTAAGAAGTGGACCTAGTGGGGGTTGTTAGGGTCATTGAAGATGTACTCTTGGAAGGAATTAATGTAGCTTTCAAGGGACCCCTTGAGCTCTCAGAATAGTGAGTTATAAAAATGAATGCAACCCCTAAATCACTCTCTGGCTTCCTGTTTTAAGACACAATCTCTCTCCTCACATGGGCTCCTGCCACCATTGTGATATCATATGTTATTAGGAGACTGAATAAATGGGGCTTTCCCAGTCTTGAAATTTAAGCCTCCAAAATTATGATCTAAATGAACATTTTTTTTTCTTTTCAAAATTAGCTGGCCTCAGATATTTTGTTACAGCAGTGGAAAATGAACTAACAACCTCTTGTTTACTATATAGTTGAGATTTTTATTTAGCTTTAATGAAATCCATGAAAGAAAAGAAAAGAAAACCCAGTTTTTGGAAAGGAGATTAGATTAAATAATATACTCCAAGTGTATTAGAGCAGAGTTTGTAAAGGTCGGGCGAGCGTCGGAGGAAGAGACCACCAAGAGACTGTCTCATGCAACAGCAAGGGGTTTATTGGGGGTCCAGCATGCAGGGGCTCAGAGCTCACTTGAATAGAGCAAAGAGCCCCGAAAACAGTTTAAGCAGAGCTTATATACTTTCCTTGGAGAGGGCAGGGAGGGAATGGGTCAGGGCGAGTGGGCGGTTTGCGTGCAACCGGGTAAGGGAATACATTCTGCAGTTTGGCAGTTGGGGACAGCACATTCTGGGAACAAGATTAGCAAACAGTTCTCAAGATTATTAACCTTTCAAGTTAAGAAAGAGCCTAGTGCTATGGAGCTGTCTATGGCTGAAGCTTCTCACTTTTGGTGTGTATTACAATCATCTGGAGAGCTAACAACAAATGGAGAGGTCCAGGCTAGTGGAAGTAGCATGAGGCCTGGACATTTGCCTCAGCCTCCTGAGTCACTAGGATTATAAGCATATGTCACCACATGTGGCTCAAAAAAAAATTTTTTTTTTAAATTTTAAGTGTTTAG